TTGAGAGCCCTTCTTCCCCATCCATTTTTCCCAGACTTATCTTAGAACGTCTCTTTGAGGCTGTTGAAGATTCTACTGGTTCTGACTGTGAAGATCCATGGGGTGTTTTGGTGGTGTCTGATTCAGTCATGGGGTCCTTGGCAGGGCCTGGTGTTTGGAAGAGCTCCTGGAAGCCAGCCAGGTCCTCTAGAGGCTGGGCCTTTGCCTTAGGTGTTGTCGGCCGTCTCTTGCTGCAAGATATATTTGTTGCTAGGTCCAGTGTCTGCTTTACAGATTCGTTTAAAGCTTTGATGCCTTTGTCTTCACCTTCTGTTGCTTTTGGGTTATATATGGCTTTCTCCTCTTTTATATCCACTTTCCTCTGGGGTGTGTTGGGAAATGTTTTTTTCCTTCTTGGGGTATCCACTGCTTCTGTCTGTGGAGAGCTATAGAGCACTTTAGCTTTGTATTCACTTATGGGCACATCTTTGTGTTCCGGTGTTTGCAACAATTCTTTGATGCCTGCTAGGTCTTCCAGAGGTTGGTTTTTAGGAGTTCTTGGCAACCTCTTCATTCTTGTGGCATTCATTGCTGAGTCCAATTTCTGCTTTGGAGTTTCCTTAAGCACGTCCATACTTTTATCATAATTTACTATGTGTATGTGTTCCCCTGACATTTGTGAGAGACTCCTCAGTGCAGTCACCTCTTCTTTCACATCCACTTTTCCCAGAGGTATCTTAAGCTGTCTTTTCCTGCTTGCTGGGGAGTGGATTGGTTCTGGCTGTGAAGATGTGCAGGGCATTTTGGTAGTTGTACCCACTTCATTTGTTAATTCCTTGGCACAATCTGTTTTTTGCAGAGGCATTTGGGGACCTGATATGTGCTCTGTGGGTTCTTTTCCTGGTGTTCTCCTAAGATCTGTCAGGTCACTGGTGGATTCACACTTCTTTCCACTACTTCTTGATCTCCTTACAGGTGTTCCCTTTCCAGAATTTTCATTTAATTCCACATTTTCCTTACATGTTTCTAAAGATCGTTCACTATCCTTCATCTCTCTGTCTTTTTCCTTTTCTCGTAGTGGGGTCTTCCTCAGGTTTTTCCTTGTGATGTTCTCAGTAATGCCTGTTGCTAGTTCTTCATTTGTACTTTCTATGGGTAGTATCTGCACTTTTCTGAGCTCCACAGATCTTAATTTATTTGTACTATATACTGTCTTCAGAGCCTCTGTCGCAGAATCTGGAGTTTTAATCTCAAAATGAGTAATTTTATGGATATTTCTAGGAGTTTTTACTATCTTTTCATCTTCTTTTATACACTTCCTTCTTAATATGGGGCTTGCAAAACATTTATCAGATGGTTCTTTTGCTGCACTCTGAGCACTAGAGTACACATTTTCTCCTGTAAGAAATAAAAATTACATAAAGTAAATGTATTACATCCACTGTGCTATATCAACCTAGTGTTTTATCCTCATGAATTACAGTATAAAAACCAGTTCTTTGGTTTCCTATCTACCTTACTAAGAACATAAGGCTGCTAATGTGGCCATAAATCTGTCTTATTTATGAGCCATCTGTTAAGTATAATGTTTGTGGTGATAGAATATGTCTTACTTTTTGTTGTTGCTGACACAAAATATCTGACATGCAAAGTTAAAGGAGGAGAGGTTTATTGTACTTAGTTTGTGGAGGTTTCAGTTCATAGTTGGCTGGCTGCAAGGGAGGGTGGCATGGCAGAGAGGCATCACAGAAGAGAAATAGTTCAAAGCAGGTAGAAGGCAGCAAAAGCAGCAAGCAACAAGTGACAAGTAACCATAGCAGCCCTCTTTCTCATATTCTGTACAGGCAACCTGCCCTTAGGGCAGGTAGCACTCACATCAGGGTGTGTGTCTTCCCATTTTCACTCTCAAAACTATGCCAAACCAAGCAATGGACTCATTTAGTAATGACACACCCTGGATTCCAGCATCACACACTTAATCCCAGCATCATGCCTTCTAGATCCAGCCAGCTCTGAAAAACCCTATGATCTCATTAGGCTTTGGGGGGATATCTAGACAAGCCATAATAAAGTAGAATAATCATTAAGTGGTGATTAGGATCTACAATGATTATTTAAAGGAAAAATATTCCTAAGAATGGTTTTTGAAAGCTACCGTACACGGTTATGGTAAAACAGGCATTGTTTTCTTTAAATATAAGAAACAAACACATCTTTCTATTTTTCACTCTATGCTCAGACTCCATATTGTATAGGAAACATCTACCTTCTAACTACAGCAAGCATATGCAATGTGGCAAGATGGTCCTTTTATGACTGGAACACAGTGTCCAATACCACATGAGACAGTACGAGAGACTCATATTCCTCATGTCACACTCACCCTGGGGCTTGCTCCCGTTCCCAAGATTAGGGACAATAATGAGATACATAAATCACTACCTTTCTCTTTTATAACTAGCAATAAGTGAATTTGAGTGATTTATAATGTACACATAAGACAAATATACTTTTCTGCTATATCACCTTTACTTATAGAAAGCTAAAAATGTGGAAAAATAATTTAAACTTATTAACTGATTATGCACGTTAATGAATACAAAGCTGTTGAACCACTGATGAAAAATCTCTGCTTAAATAACAGGACAGAAGACAGAAATGGCATTTATCAGGAATATGTGTTATAGAAAAATACAATATAATATTAGTTGTAAAGTAATAATATGATCTATAAGTTCCATCCAAAAGCATAACAGTGTCAGAGAATAAAGAAACCAACCTAAGTTCACTGAAGGGATGGACAGAGATTCTTCTCCGGAACTAATTACTGTAGACTTGTCTCCAAGCAAGTTCTCTGAACTGGAGGGTGTGACAGAATGTGTGCTCATCATCTGTGGCTTCTCCTTCACTGGAGTTTTAAACATTTCTGTTAGCCCTGATAAATGAAAATATTTATAGGATGTTACACAGCTACCCCAGACCTCACACATAACAAACTAAATGACAGGAGATAAATCACTAATATTCCTGGTACATAGTATCTCAGAAAAAGTGATTTTATTAATAATATTCTCTTTTCTTTGAAAAAAAAAAAAGAAAAGAAAGCAAAGAGAAGTGTATGGCTTTTCTTCTAGCCTATCTCACTGGAAAGGAAATCAAATGAAGTTAGTTTACATCTGTGGCCTTGCAAACTAATTCCAAACACAAGTTATACCAGGACAGAAACTGGTCATGGAGTCTTCCCCTCAGGGCATTTCCTCTAGGTAACCAGGACCTGAGGGCACTCATGTCTTCTTCTAAAAGTCCTGGGCTCCTTGCTTCTAGGGTTCACATTAAACGACATGTTCCCATATTTTAGAAAATGACAGAACACTGCTCAGCTGTCAAGTAATACGGTATATACTTAAATGAAACATTCAATATATGTACTTAAAAACTATCCATTGCATTTTAGTACCAAACAAGCAAAAGCAACAAAATCTCAGAAAATAAAAATATAGCACTTCATGTGGAACATCTACCTTGCTAAAAAATACATATTCACCCATGTTTTCCTTCTCATGCAGGCACCAGTGGATGAAAATGTTCTTAATCTGGCATAACTGTAGAATATGTCAGAGAAGCCTGCTGAGGATCCCACCCAAGCCAGTCCATTCACTTAAAGTCTTCCTGTGCCTTCCAGGCCCTACTGAATATAGGGCCTAAAAGGCCCTATTAGTTTAGTTTCCAGCAGTTATTGATGTTTTTAAATGGAAGTTACTCATGTGCATCAAGAAACAAGAATCATCTATTCCAGGCAAGTGTCTTAATAGAAGAAATATCTGACCTAATCCATTGCCCCAAGTATTATTTAAAATCATATTTAATCTTAAAAGTATTTTTTGAGGGTTTGTTTTTAACATTTTGTAACATATATATTCATACATTAATACACCTCATAGTTTATAAGTACATATATACACATTCATCTACTTTTACATTTGCTTTGTTTTGTTATTCTTTTTAAAAACAAATGAAGTACTCCAAATATGACTCTTATTAGAAAATACTTTGCGTATACTATGAGGGCTCTAATAATGCTTCCAACTCCTATTTTGCCAGGAAGTAAGATTCTACCTATTGAGTTCAAATCTTACCTTCCTCCTTAACTGAACCATGCACACCACTGGGCAAATTATGCAGCATGAAACCTAAATTGCAGTTTTTATCACGGTTGCAATCTGTAAGCAAGTGAGGTCACATTTTTACCCAGAGTGGGAGTGAACTAGAAATATTTGTTGAATACTTATGGTTTAAAAGAACCTTCATTTCATAGTGCTCTGTTAGAAAAAACAGTCAAGTCACCTAGAAAGTAAAATTGAAGCACAATATTGCTCAAAAAGCAGCTAATTGACCTCTAGAACCACTAGGTCAAAGAAAGCAACTATAAAAAGTACATGGCACTTTCTACTCTAAAACACTTTCTAGGTAATATTTGTACTGTTCTCCAGAAAAGTGCATATTTGACGCTGTCATACCTACTTCTTACAGAATATGATCCACAGAGAACTGTGCTTATATTATCAACTAGCTTTCTCTACCTTGAATACTATAAGACCAGAAACCACCTCTGTTATTTTCTATACAATTGTACTTACAACAGATAAACAAAAGTAAACAAACATCAAAAAGACACATAGGATTATGATCTACAGATGCTCAGAGTGTTTTTACCTGACAGATCTTCATTATAATCCACTTTTTGGGTGAAAACAAAGTTGTTCAGCATTCTGTAGGGCTGAGCAGGTGCATTTACTTTTTCAATTTGTGCTTTCCCTATTACTATGGTACAAGGAGAGTTTGCATGACCCGTGCTAAACTGATTGTGAACATTATCCGAAGGCTTCTATAGAAAAAAATAAGATGGATAAAACATCAAAGGGTAAACATACATTTAAAGCAATCTTAACATCAGTGTGTATAAACATGCAATTTTTATTGCAATCTCATACCTTTGGAGTACTAGGTCTTCTTTGTCTTTTGCTCATCTGCCTTGGAGGGGGATGTTTCACAACTTTTGTTTGTGTTTGTTTTACACCAAGTTTTACCACATCTGCCCATGATTTTGCAACTGTCAAAACGACAGTGAAAAGACAGTGAAACTTTTCACAAATAGCATTAAAGAGAAAACTAACCTTGAAAGTATTTGCCAATAGAATACTCACCAATTAGATTGGCTTCAGAAGCACCACTCCTTCTTTTGGAGGAAATCATCTGTAAAATGTCATGCTGACTTCGACTAATGGATGCTCTCTTTGCAGGCAAGTGGCCACTCTTTTTCCCTGATTTCTTAGGCATGTCTGTCTCATCTGGGGATTTCCCATCACCAGAGGCAGTAGAGCCCTTGTGTGACCTTCGCCTTTGATCATTTGTCCTTGGGGGAGTTACTCTAGGACTAGGTGCTAGAGCATCTATGGATACATGCTGTGCTTTCACTTCCAAGCAGATTTCAGGAGATTCTTCTTTGCCTGATGATTGAGGCTGCTCCTGACAAGACAGAAATGCTAATGAGAAATCTTGTCAAGAATATAACATCTCTTAATGCTTGTTAAAAATCTATTCAAAAAATTTCAGCTGTTTAAATCTTGAAGCATTGAATGTTCAAACTACTGCTTTTCGAAGTTAAGGTAGAGATTAAGTTTATCCCACTCACTAAAGGAAAAAGAAAGGGAGTAAAAGCAGCCATCAAGTCTGAACTGAATTATCTAAGGTGGGAAGATGCAGAAAATATCCTGCTCAGTGAGACAAGAGAGCTCTGACCAACACTAGTTACTGTCAGCCCTTCTTGGTCTCCATGGCAGGACAGCTGCTCACTTTCCGCAGACAAGGTAAAGGAGAAGCTGGTTGTGTCTTCCCAGCCCTTTTGGTACTAACAGAAAAAGCCTAGACAATCTGTTAAGAAGGTGAGCTACGTGGCCATACCTTTCCAGAGATTTAAAAACAAGGGAGGACAATAAAGTCAAGTAATAGATAATTAAAAGATTTAAAAAGCTGATCATGCAAAAGAGAGATTTTACCATCAAAGATTTTCTTTATCAGCTAAATGCCTTCTTGTACCCTTATAACCCTAAAACAAAATAAAAATCATTCTGTAGTTATATGTGACAGTGTATTCAGATCTCACTGGTCATTTTTAATGGGACCCACAGTGGTTCTGAGGCCCTCTAAGCAAGCTGTCTGTGTCAGGGCATCCTGCGCTGAAGTGAACGGTGCTGAGCACTCTACCTACCCTCTGTTCAGCCACCTTAGAGCCACATTTGGGAGCTCAGATGTTCCAGCACCTGTATAAATGAGCTATTATTTTAGAGAATTAGAGAAACAAAGACCTTAATTCTACTGTAATTGCACTATGCTAGGACTTTGGAAGGAATGTGTACCAGCTTTGTGAGCCACTAGGTATAAAGAGAATACTAATCTCCAGTTTACCTTGATGATTTTCTTTAGAACAGCTGGAGTATGAGTTCCGAGAGATTTCCTCTTGGCTGGTGTTTCTCCTCTTTTGAGAGGTGTATTCGGAGGCAAGTTTTCATCAAATAATTCAGGTCTTAGATGACTACCAAAGGACACACGCCTTCTCTTCAAAGACACATCCTCATTCTTGTCTAAGGGATACAAACATGAAATAAGCAATGCGAAAACCACACCAAGACTTGATTTCTGTCAAACTAGTATTAAAAACTTAGCAACCAAAAAACTTCTTGAAACTTGACAACTTTGTTCTCTTGTAATATTGATAAACCCAAAATTGCCACAGGATTTCTTGAGAGATCTCAAGGAAAGCACTAAGACATCAAGTTCTACCTGGACTGGACAGAGATTGCCTTTAAAATGTTGAAAACTTACACCTGGATGTAGTGTAAGCAAGAGATCAGTCTGTAGCAGCAGTAGCCAATCTGGAGCAATGGGACACAATGGAGACAGACTTTTAGCAGGGGCACGAAAGAACGTTCTAAAACACGTACTTGAGCTTGATGCAGACCTGCCCAGCAATTCGAATGCATGAGCTGTGAAAACTTCTCTAGGCAATGGTGATGATCATTTTGTGACCTCACCTCCACCATACAACTTGCTGAACCACCAATCAACATAAATCCTTTGGCCAGATACGAAACTCAATGGAACACTCTGATGACAAGTACAGGTCACACACTTTACCAACAGTCTCACTCCCTGCACACACGCCATAAGGGGTCATCTGCAGAAATGGGACCCTAGTATGAAGATGGCTGCATCCAAATGCCTGGAAACCTTTCTATAGTCCAACCCTCAAGTGTGCAGGAAGACGGACAGAGCTCCCATGCTCACTGCAATGGCCATGTCTCTGTTGCTTACTGTGTATGCTTAGGTTATCAATTTCCCAGTTTGCAACAGGCACATGGGAAGAAAATCCTTTGTGGGCATTTCTACTGCAATAGCCATTCAGTGCTAATGTCTACAAAGCGTCTAGAACTTAACCGGGCATAGAGTCCTGGGTCTAGTCCAATAATTATAAAAAAGTACTTGTAGGAGGGGATAAGAACAGAGTAGAAAAAAAGAAGAAAAAAGAAAGAACAGAGTTCTTTCTTCATATAAATATGTGACAGTTAGCACTAGGTTCAATGACACACAGGAGATTTCCAGTGGTTTACTCTAAACAACCAAACTTCTATGATACAGTTCATTCTGGCTCAGAATTGAACCACAAATAAAAATGATTATTATTATTTTTCTCCTTATTTTGTGATACACAGAAAAGCAAACCAAATGTTTCAGGATAACCTCCCACATCTTGCTTATCTCACGACCTGTACCTCCTCTATGGTTCCTTGGGTCTTTTGCATTCATTTATCAGCTGAAACATGAACATGTCTCTCACTGTACTTTAGGTGTATAGCAAATTCATTCACAGCTCATCATTACTGACTGGATAAAGGTCTCTTATCTATATATAAAGTAAGTGTTAATCATTTAGGGAAACTAGCTTTACGCTTAAACAAACTTACTAACAGAATCACCGAAGTTGCCAATATCAACTGAACTAGAACCAGGTAAGCCGGGGCAAACCTGTCCAGGTATAATGCCCAATTTCTCAGCCTTGTTGAGGGAATCCGTTTGAAATTTTCTTTCAACTTGAGCAAGGCAATGACTTATGGGAGGCTGATTTTGAATTTCTCTATGCAACACTTCCACCTTTGTAGGATTACTCCTCCTCTTTTTAGAAGAGAGATTCCCTGGCTTATTGTCAGGGTCTGCAACATCCTCAACCCTAGTTGGTATTTGATTTCTAGTCAAAAGCTTCCTAGCAGTAACTGTTTCATCAATTGCCTTGTTGCCTTCACTCTTACCCAGAATCAGAGACTCTTCTCTGTCAGTGACATGCAGGTCTTCACTCTTACGTTTCTGTGAAGATCTTTTCTGCTGTGAATGTCGCACAGGGGTCTGTACTTTAGTCACCTGAGAGAGAGAAAGGCTGGAACGTACAGCTTCTTCGGAAGTCTGAATAGGTTCTGGATCACTTTTCTTTCCCTTGGCCTGACTCATTTCTGGTGCAGGCGAAGAAGCACCATTAACGTGGGTGCTTCTATTGGACTTTGGTCTTGATTTACAAGACACCAATAGCTGAGCCTCCTTTTGCGAAGAGTCGGCACTGCCTTTTTCTGGTGTGTAAGCAGTTGATGATCCTGATTTTCTACGATACTGTAGAACATTTTGTCTTTGTGATTTCACATCAAACTCTTCCTTCATTGACTGATAAAGCTTCTTAAAGGGAGATTCACTTTTATTGCCATTGTCAAGAAACTGTGTAGTGGGAAAAGTTTTCAGTTCTCCATAGCAGCCCACTGAAGTTACCCTGGACTTTTCCTTAAAATCCCCAATGGTGGGATCTCCCGCATTCCTGTTACCATGTCTTGGAGGTTCTGAAGAAGGAACCTTAACTGGTTCCTGGGCAGCACTGCCCTTTGAGCCATCTGAGGTAGAACTGTCCTGTTTGAGTTGCTTGCCATGTACCAGAGACCCTCCTGTAGCATGTCCTTCAGTGATGCTTGAATGGGCTTTGGAATCTTGATCTTTGTCATCTTTGCAACAAATTATGAAATAAGAAACAGAAGGTTCAACATTTTTCTCAGTGTCTAACATTTGTGGAACTCTGTATGTTAATTATTTCAAACTGCCTTACAACCTAACTTTCCAGTTAGTCTACAAATCACATACTGCTTAAAGTTTGTAAGTCTTATAATAGCATTTCAACCCAAATAAATAAGTCACAGTATCCTCTAATAACTAGTAGTGAGAGAATGTAGGCTATCAAACCACTTGGATTAAATTTACAACTGAAAAGGCAATTTATGTACACTTAGGCTCTGCCTTAAACAGAGCACCTCATCCAGGGGAAGTTAACTCAGCTATCTGCCTGTGTTTGACATGTTAAGTGCCACAGTGTCTTTTATTCTGGGAGAGGGCATTTCACAGTTCTGTCCCTTTGTCCCTCTCTTGTCACTGTGACGGTGATCTGATCCATAGGATCCCAGAACAGAGCCCAACCAGTACAAACCAGGGTCAGCAGAGAAGCTTGCTCTTGAGGCACGCCGTGCAGGTTTCTGTAAATTAGGAAAATATGAACAGCAAGTTACGGGCCTTCTTAAATGCTGGTGATCATAACAATGAAAATATTATTCTTATTAATCATCCTTTTTGTGAAATGGCTCCTATGTGACTTTTAGAGACTTTTGAGCTGTGGGCCCAAGCCATTTGGGGGGTTAATGGTCATGACACAAGCACACCTTAGCCGACTTTAAAATAGAAAAATATTCCAGGCTTAATATAATTTAAATCAAACCACAAAGAGTTATTATTACTTTCTTTAAATTACATATCTCCCAACATTTTAAGAAGAACTAAAGCTAAAGTTAAATGTCACCTAACCTGTTAACCTGCCATAGGAAAAACTATTGACATTGTCATTAGTTTAATCAGAAATGGACCCAGGACCTGTTGATGAATTGAGGCTTCATCTAGCACTTAGGTTCTCCTGGCTGGCAGAGACACTAAGTGCTTATCTAAGAGCACAGCAGCTAAGGCACAAGCAGAAGCAGCACATCTATACGTGCCGGCGCACCAGACCCAGCACTCCCACCTGGCCACCACCAGACAAACGCCTGTGCTTTCTCTATAGGGAAGTTTTTGGAGAGAAGAGCTAACAAATAACATACATAAAAGTCTGATGCTCTAAAGGGAAAAAAAGCTTATCACTTGGATTATCAAAAAAAGTTATTACCAAAGTCAAAGAATTTAACTTTTTCATTTAATCAACTTCAAATTTCTTGATATCTAAGACATTATTTCTGAAGCTATCCATCTGAAAGACGAGTTTTTATTTCCAATCTGAAGCAGACCAAGACTCTTCCAACTAAACAAAAATGAGCTATTAATAAAATTTAAAATATGTATAATACAATCATACTTTTCTGTGATCATGTAGACATAAAATTCCTGTCAAATTACTAAAATGGTTTCTACAAATTCAATTTTAATGCACTGTATTACAGATCAATAACAAGATAGACAATTAACAGACTATTGAGTGACATATACCTAACCCAGTTCTGTAATTAAACACAGATCAAACTTCTGCTTATTTACTTATACCTACTAACAAGCTAAATGATGTCTCATGCATGGGATATTTCAAAAATAGTTTGCATCACAGGAGCTGATAAGTACAAGGCTCAACATTATAGCTGCTCCTCTAGGGAAGAAGCAATTTTAACATGACAGACTTTGAAATGAAGTACCTATTGCTAACTGTAGCTGTACCTAAAGTCTCCCAAGCTAAGAAATTCCCAATAGTTTATATGATCATTATCAGTATTATCACTAGCTTGAGCAGTGTCTTAAGACACATTCTCAGGACATATCCTAAAACTACTAAGTCTCACTAAATCTCCTAGAATGTGCTTAGAATTGCATTCTAATAAGTTATACTATTTGCATACCTGTTCTATGCTAAAATGCTCAGTAATAAGATTCTCTCACAGGCAATGCACAGAAACTCAATTCCATTTTCATCCATCAAAAGTGGAAAGAACCTGTGGTACTTATAATTTTCACTATGTGATTACTCTAGACATATAATCATGGATGCGTACAATGAGTGGGAGGAAAAATAAATCATGGGATAACGCAGTTCCCAAATTTTATTACCATGTATTGAAACTGTCCTAACCATAGGATTCCAAGGTCAGACATACTGTAAGAGACTTTTGGGACAAAAGTATAAGAAAAATTCAGTACTCATTTTGAAAAACAAAGAAGAAATGTTGTTTTAGATTACTTTACTATATTTAAGTCCAACTTGTTTTCCATAACTTAGTCATATTTTTCTACTATAACTAGGAAGCCATCTTCCTTTGTCAATGATTTAAAGTGAGAAATCTTTGTCAAAGTACATAGAAATGATTTCCTATCATCAAAAAGAGAACCAGAGCCCAAATCTGAATTATTTTCCCTCACCTGTTCACATATTTTTTCTGGAAGTTCAGGTGACTGGCTTCTATTCTGATAACTTTCATTTTCATACCTGTAGTGCATGAAATGAGAAGATTCAGGTTAAGGACTTGTACCCCCATGGCTAAAATCTGGGTGTTGAGTTATATGTAAGGAAAAAACTTCAGGCTTTGTTTCTGAGTATTACCTTATAGACAGAAATAAATATATTGGAAAAGCATTTTACACTAAAAATTTGTGTAAATCTCCTCAGGTTTGCCTTGGAACATCACCAGAGGCTGGGATCCAGATTAACTTTTTTTTTGTACCAGCAGTCAAACTCAGGACCTCATGCTTGCCAAGTAGGTGTTCCGCCACTGAGCTAAATCCTTGACCCAATTTTTTTTTTTTTTTTGGTACCAGGAATCAAACTTAGGACCTCATACTTGCCAGGTAGGCTCTGTGCCACTGAGCTATATCCCTGGCCTTAAGATTAACTTTTATCACTGACTAGCTTGGGTTAAGATTCAGCCATATCCTTCACAACCTCCAAGTAAGAACCTAGCGTGGGGCCGAGGGTATAACTCAGTGGCATAAGCGCCTGCCTAGAAAGCACAAGGTCTTGAGTTCAATTCCTGGTACCAAAAAAAAAAAGAGAACCCAGTGCACAGGAGAGCAAACTTGGGCTTCTTCCACACTATGCCCATGAAGATGCCGTAAGCCTGGGAAGACAGACTAGCAACCTTGGTCACAATTTGATCTTTACTCACACTGTGGCTCACATAGTTCTGGGTAAGCACAAAGCTACTTGCACTTTGGGTAAGTATAAAACTGCTTTAGAACACTGCTCCCTCTAGTTTCCAACTTAATCTGTGTCCATACAATACAAGCATATTTTAGGCATAACTGTTTTAACAGATCTCAGTAATAAATTCTCAGAAGCTATCCTTATTTACATAAAAAACACTTTGGTACCACAGCAAAATGGGCTGATTTGAATTTAGATGCAGCCTCAATAAGATCTGAAGCCATCAAGCATCTGAAATAGATATATCTCTGGTATCAGAGTGCTGAATCAAGTCCTACCTAAGATCCATTTTTTTACTTTGTTGGGGATGTTTAATCATCTCAGTTGATCTCTATTTAAACAGCATTTCATTTTCGAGAAATAGTTCTGGTCTCCATCCCACATCAACTATTTCCTACCCAGAAGTCTATAGTCAATAAAAATGCCCTCAAAATTGTTTATGGAGACAAGGGACATTTTAAAATGATATAAAAGTCAATCCATCAAGAAGCTAATCTGGGGCTGGGGATTTAGCTCAGCAGCAAAGCGCCTGCCTAGCAAGCGCAAGGTCATGAGTTCAGTTCCTGGTACCAGAAAAAAACCAAAAACCAAAAAAAAAAAAAAAGAAGCTATTCCAGGTACAGGAAGAAAAACAAAAAAACAAACAAACAAAAAAAAATAGGGCTGGGGATTTAGCTCAGCGGCACAGCACCTGTGTGGCAAGCGGAAGGTTGTAAGTTTGATTCCTGATACCAGAAGAAAAACAAAAACAAACAAAAAAAGAAGCTATTCCAATTAAAAGCAAGACATCTGACAAAAGGTTCTAAGAGACAACCTCAACTATAACAATCATGAAAAACTGAGATTAAGAGAATATAAACATTTGCATTGTACAAGCATATACCAAAAAAATTTAGCTATATTTAGCATCCAAAGAAAATATTATTACTAAAGTATTACTAAAGGTAGAGGACACTTCTAAATAACAAAAAGCTCTATGTATAGAACTCTAATGACACCAAGTTCTGTGCATAACTTTGAATTATTTCCAGGAGGACATAATTCTAAATTTGTAGGCCAGAGCATAACCTCAAAATGTGTAAAGTAAAAACCAGGAAGCACTAAAAGAGGGAGACTAATAAGCAAGAGAATAATTACTAAAAATAAAGAAGATTTGAGTCTAATGGATATATACGTTGAACAATGCATCTACTACTCATAGAATATATAATGTTTTCAAATACACAGGAGTAGTAAAAAATTAACAATATCAGACCAGGAAGTCTCAACATATTTCAAAAGCTGTAACGCACTCAAATGTCTATCAAGAATGAATAAAACTGTATATAATCTTATACATTTTTGTGTATACAAAGACACCTCCAACAAGCTATGAATCTCACACACTAAGAGCAGCTGTCAGACACAAACATGCACGTTATTACTTCAATCACTGAATTTCATAAAGAGAGACTTCTACATTTTATAGCTACCACGGTAGCTTCCTTGATGAGAAAGAAGCAATAATTGTAAACATCAGGAAGAAAATTTTTGGAAGCTTTATGATATTGTTGGTGTATTAGTCTGCAGGACTGTCACAGTAAAACACCACAAATGAGGTGTTTTGCATAACAGAAATGTATTGCTCACAATGGTGGAGGTTGGAACTCCCACGTATCCAATGGGACTGGCTTCCTCTGCTGGCCCATTCATACTATTTTCCCTTTGTATACTATTTGTTGGTGTCTCTCTGTCCTAATCTCCTTATTAAAATGACATCAGTAATAGGATTAGGGCCCACTTTGATGGTCTCTGATTAAACTAGCTGTTCTTTTAGGTGCCCCTCTCAAACATACAACCTAAGTGACTAGGGATTAAGACTTTAAAATATGAATTTTTGGAGAGCACACTTCAGGTCATAATAGGTTGTTATCAATCATGAGGGCATTTAGATCATATTAAATTGACCTGTACACCTTATTTTCTAACATTCTCTATGAATGTATTCTGCTTAAAAATAGAAACTAAAACTGCATGCGGTTTCAGAACAGTCACAAGAAAACAACAGCCTTCTTTAGGTTCACGTCACCTTTCTTACACCTAATTACGTACCCTTGAATCCCTGAATTCCATCACATCTGAGCCCCTTCTGTCACTTCTAGATCCATATGTTTTTAGATTAGCAGTGTTGCAAATGAAAGTATGAAACACTGATGTTCAGCAGCATTAAAAAGGATTACAATTGAACTGTGGTACTAGTTTATGGTTAATTAGAGCATCTATTTATCTTTAGCACAATTAGCTTTTACCTACCTGAAAGACCGATCAATAATAGTTATTATATCCCCATGTCTTAGTAGTACAGGTTTGTCAATAGCAGACCCATTTACTTGTGTTGGATTTGTGGAACTGAAATTATACAATATTGCCTACATGTAGAGAGAAAGGGAAAATATATAACTAATAAAATAGATAAAAAGTGAACCAAAACATTTTAAAAATCAGCTTCCCCAAACCCACTTACCTCCTGCCTATTGATTTCAATTTTGCAATGTTGTTTTGACACTACAGGAAGCTGGATACGAATGTCACATTCAGTTCCCCTTAATACAAAAGAATTAAGATTTTTTTTTTGGTTGTTGCAACTTCTTAAAAATTACCTTAGTTTTTCAAAATAAAACAGAACTTGACTAGTAAGCCTGATCTATAAATATAATGACATAGGGAATAATAAAATGGGCCATGCAAATAATCTGTGGATGGCCAATAATTTTTACAAGCATTGCATAAGAAGCTATTTAAATATCCAAAAATAATTTTATCAGAAAATACCAAAATACAAATTACTTTTTATATAAACAGCTATACTTAGAAGACACGAACACTTTATGTCAATTTTGAAGGATAACTGTTTTTAACATTGCACTCTACAAAGTTTTTAACATATGTTTGTTTGAATAGTTATAAAATTCAAAACTTTAACACAAAGTGTAAGATTTCATGTTAGCACCTCTCTGTACCTCCATTCTTCCTATACAAAAATATTACATTAGGACTTATGTCATGGTATTATTCAAATAATTAAATGAAATTTACATGTCACTCATGTTCTCCTTACACAATAAATGTCATTATATGTGACCTTTTCATTGTTGTTTTAAAACTTTGCTATATTAACCAACAGATTAAAGTCTTCTCCTAACGTTAAAAATACTAATCTGGAAGCAATGAAAAAACAACTCGACTTGTATTTCTACAGAAAGTGAACACCATAGAGAAAAGCACAGAGAGGACGGTTCCTAAGCCCACCCACAAATGAATAGCCAGAAGAGTTCACTGGTATTAGAGTCTCTGAATATGCTGTTCCATCCTGTGACTTTAAAACTTTGGGTATACTCCATGACTTAAGTCTGTTCTCCATATGAATCACCAAAGTCTAAACATATCTCTTCCTACCCTTGTCACATGACCAAACTCGCACAAATTGGTTTCAAAATAATAAAATTTTACAAAAAGATAATGTAATGCTGTATAATAACCAAAATAACTACTATTTGAGATTGGAATGTTTTTCTTTTGAAAATAAAGAAAGCTATGGAAAGTGTTAACTTCTTTAACCACAAGAAGGGAATTTCAGTTTTAGGTACCAGAACACTCCAACAAAGAGAGACTGATTAGAATTAGGTTTTGCTTAGCAGAAGAATCACTACAAATCAGTACTTCTTAACTTCAACACTGCTTGCATTCTGGACCAGAGAATGCCTCACTGTCAGGCTATCCTCTGCACTGCTAGACGTCTTGCTACATCTCCGCCCTCTGCCAGCAAGACTAATGGCATATAGCTCTCCCATAGTAACATTGGAAAATGTCCCTAGAACTTGCCCAGTGCCTCCTGGGGGATAAAATGATCCTCCTATGAAAACCACTTAGTTTTCTCCTGATTCCAAATACAAATCTGCAGCCTATCTTTTTACTTGATACCAACCGGCGTTACTTACTAATCATCACTCATGTGCCAGACATCACGACTGGCCCCGAGTATATAATTATTAGCAAGACAACCCCTGTTCTTGTAACAGTCTAACAAGAGACAAACCAGACCAAACAAACCAAACCAAACCAAAAAAACTAAGCATCAGTGTGAACAAGCTTTCATTAAAGCCTTGCTTTCAGGTAACTGTATGATGGAACAGATACCTGAAATCGAGAGGAGGTATTCAAGCACGAGAGTAAGGAGTACAGTCCAGTCATAAAATTCAAACTTTGTAAAAAGTACCAACAAGAGTTTAGAATATTTTGGGCTGGAAGAATAGTGAAGAATGGAGTTGGAAGGCTAGGGTGAGGCTAGAATGGGGGCTAGAGGTTAGATCACAGACAGGAGTGACTTGATCACAGGTCCACAGTAGCACCTTAGGAAATGAGGTGGGTGCTGTTAGTAATCGGGACTGTCATGCCAGGAAGAAGGTTATTATGTCATTCAAAAAGACCTGAGGAAAAGATCTCAAAGCATACTAGGAGGACTTTCCCTCCCATTTCATTTTTCCAAAAAGAGGAGCCAAGCGCATGCCTCTTTTTTGCATTCTCAGTGTCCAGAGAAGTCAGCACCAGCCCAGTCGGGGGAGACGCAAGGGTACACGCAGTCTTTTAAAGAGGGCTGGAGGGCAATCAGGTTTGAGAATCATCTATCAAATCAATTGTAAAATTTTTGTTTGGTTAAAAAAACAACAGGTAACACGGTCATCACATAACACATGTATAAGTATAATTTTGAGACTTTCATTTAGTGACAACTATGTCAAGTGGTTGATGTGCAAAAGTATCTAGGCATTAGAGGCAAGTGTCCCCAAAGCATATGCGTGGGCTATCACATGGCCACTAAGTCCCTTTCATCTTTCTGCACAACAGCGTCTGGTGCGCGGGCTCACCTTCCGAACAAGCAGGTGCTAAGGGTCAGTGGAAAGGGGATGCCGTCCACCCCGTTCCTCTTGATGGTAACAAGGCGTGCCGTGGGCCCCATTTTCTAAACTAGCTGTTAGTCTAATCCGGGCAGGAAGTAAGGTTTCAATTACAGAGGCAAACTCACAAGCACCTTTTCCACTGCAAAAAAAAAAAAAAGTGGGTATTACTCTGAGGGTAAGGGAGCTAAGATCATTTTTAGTAACCAGCCGGGTTCGCTGGTGGAGTTCCCCGACCCTGCTGCTTGGTCCACGCTTTAACCGAACTATGGGCACCTTGGAGGGATAAGGCGACACAAGCCGCCCCCACATCGCCAAAGTCCGCAGCCAGAACGCCACCACCGGGGTCCGCCCTGCCGGAGCCCCCCGAGAACCTCCGAACACAGCCCGGACCCCCGGCGCCCCAACCTGGATTCCCCGGCCCGGAACCCAGCAGCTCCGGTCCCCGGAGACCGGCCCCAGCTCACCTGGTCGAGTTCGCGCTCACCGCCGCCGGTGCTGCCGGCGCGTCCACGCGCGGCCCCAAGCAGTCCAGTCGGACGCCGTCCGCGGGCCGCTCTCGCTCCGCCCCGGCCCGCAGACCCGTACCCCGCCGTGGCCGCGGTAGCCCCGCTGCCCCCAACCGCGTTGCCGGCCTAGGCCGCTCTACGCCAAGAGGCTCCAAGTGCCCGCCCGATTCAAACGAATACAGCGGTTCAAATTCTGGCGCTAAGCGCTACGATTGGACGAGACGGCGCAGCGGGGGACCAATGGGAAGGGCAAAACGGAAGTAGGCGGAGCCGGAGGGAAAACGCTGGCTCTGCGGGGCGCCGTGTGGGGTGGTCTGACGCTTTATTTATCCCCAGGAAAAGCAACTCCTTACTTTCTGAGAAGGGTGTGGAAAAAATGCTGAAAACAACATATTCTCACTACCGAGACAACTCTCTTTTTTTCCTTACTTTGTTTTAAGGACCAAATACAAGCAACACCGTGTATTATCATTGCTAGAATATTTAAATTTTTAAAAAATTAAAAACCTCCCTCCCCAGTTTTCTTGTATCACCACCCAATTACCTTAGATTCATGTCTTTTGAAGTTATACACATACGGTTCTCTTTCTCATAAATACACGAGAGAGATCATTGGAAGCACATTTAGTTTGTGTTCTCTGTTTAGTGAATACAGAGGCAATTTCCATTTCGCAGATACCCCGTTACTTTCTGTTCGACAGGGCAGAGTATTCACTACTGTTGCTATATATTTAGGTTACAGTGCCTGGCTGTTGGAAAAAAAAAATTGTCTATTAAAGTAACTTGTGCATGAAAAAGTGGATGTATCCTAAAATAATTCCTGTACAGGATTCCATCCTGAGCCCTCCTGCATGGTGGGGGTGTGGGGGGTGGGAGTGACGCCCTTCCTTGGACCTGGTGGGTTGAAGTGAATGGAACGGTGAAAGTGATTTTGGTGACCTTCCCGGGCATCTCCTGCCATCTCCGGTAGAACTTGGCTTCCTGGAACAGTAGAATTCTCAGAAGTGGTGGGGACACTTGAAGGGTTCCAGAATCCTTCCAAAGCTGCATAAAATCAAAACCATGTCACTAATAGGCAGAATTTTTTTTTCACTTGCATTCTCTCAAGAGTGGGGTGAAATCTGCCAAAGGTATAAGCAACTAGGAGGTTCCGATTTCAGATTTGCAAAAGTGTAAAATAATGTTGCTCTTTTCACTAGTTTTTTGTTAGGTTGGATTTGGGATAATAGATTTTTTTGTAAAATTAAGTTGTTTGTGTTAACATGCAAAATAAATATTTTATGAACTCTTCAATTTTAATTTCAAATATAGTTAAGTATACGTAGATATAACCCACATTAATTTATAAGAATGTGAAGGGACCATGAAACAAAAAATTTTGAGCCCCTCCCTCTGTTCTAGGGGAACAACACTGAAAGTTACTGCCTAGGGAGACATAAAAGGCAGTGAGTGCGCAAGACAACCAAGTCCAAATTGGATGGGACAAGGCTATGTCAACAAATTAAATGCAGGGATACTATCAACCTTTTTGAGGTGTACTATTTCCATCCTGTTCCTCATTAACAATCAAACAAAGCTCATCTCTGAATCAATCCATAAAATACCGCTTTTGTCACTCCAATTAAGGGCTTAACTCAATGACAGTTGTTCCAACTTTGGAGGAAACCTAACTGGAAATAAAAGGTGCTAGCATGTCTATTTACTAAACTTAGCAACTATGGTAGAGTACATGCCAGAGAGCAGGGAATTAAAGGAGAGATACAGGGAATGGCCAAAGTAATAAATCTTAGACTTGTGGGAGTGAACAGGAAATTAGGGCATGGTAGGTTGGCTGGGAAGCAGGCATGGCCTGCTAATTGCAAAGTTTAAGAACAGTTCCCAAAGCCTTGCATGTGGACTTCTTGTAAGAACTCCAGCAATTTTAAACAGAACACCTTAGACCTGACATCAGCCTGAGGAGTGTAAGGAAGAAAGGGAAAAAGGAGAAAAAAAAAAAAAAAATATATATATATATATATACACACACACAAACACAAACAGTTAAGGTAGTTATACAACTAGTTTCTCTTAGTACACTGAAAAGAAAAGTTTGTGCTAATATTCTTTGGACAATATTTCATGCCTATATATTGTACTCTGAATAACTAGTATAAAGATAACCACCATGTATTAATTATTGTTACTCTCCTACTAACCTGTTTTGAAACTGTTTTATTGTTATTTTTATTTTTAAAATTTAAAAAAAGTTAAAAAAAAAAAAAGTACAGTTGCCTCTGAACTCCCTGCTACTGTGGTATGTTCTTTCACAGTAACCCACATTCACACAATGGAGTATACTTCTTTTCCCACTTTTACTTGGCCCAAAACTGTCCTGCAAATCATGTTTCTTTTCCTACCTTTAATAAATGTAAAACCTTGCTACCTTTTGCAATTGTCTTGACCAATTTGTTCTTCAGGACAGACAGAATCTAGAAAACACCTTTAGAATGAGACCTCAGTACCCCACAACCGGGTAACAGGAGGGCTTACTTCAAAGGGTTCTATGATGCTTTTGCAGTGTTGCTTTCTATTGAATTTTAAGCCTGTTCTCCACCCTATAATTTCATTCTAAATGCAAATCTCACCACTGCAAGAAGAATCCTATGCATCATTTTGCCAGAATGCCTTCTGGCTCTGCCGTTCTTCCCATTTATTAGTCTCAGGAATAGAGACCATGTAGTTGGAGACTCAGGGACACAGGATGGAGTAGAAAATCTTCCCACCAACCAAAAGGACAGGGAGAGTTTCTGTAGTTAATTTCCATAGTTTCTGTAGTTAATCTCCATTCTGTAGTTAATTTCCACTCCCCAGGTACTCCCCTTCACACACACACTTGTCATTTTCATTTGCCAGAAACTGACAGTGGGCACTGTCCCAGGTAGCTGCAAAGGATCCCTTCGGCAATTCCTTTCATTCTGTGCATACCCATCTGACTGGAGGAGTACGTCCCATAAATTTTGAGTTTATGTTCAATATATATTTATTAAAATTTGAAGACATTCATGTTACTTCATCAACTGTTTTAATAAATATTGTGTGTGTGAGTGTGTGGCTTGACATACATGGAGAGAGAGATGATGGGTTGGGAGATTGTAGATAAGTAGGGAGGGAATGAATGACAGACTGAGCAAGCAAGAATGTGAGTTACCACAGGATACAATGTGGTTGGGTTAGGGAAGTGGAGTAGAACCAAGGAATTCTGCAGAGAAGTGCTTTGAGATTCTGGTTTCAGGGTGGGTGATCTCCCAGGGCCTCCCCTCCCTATGACTAGGGGAGCTTTTTTGTGTTTGGCTGCAGCTCTGTTGCTTCTAAATTTCCTTCTAGAACTTTCCTCACTGTTCTTGCCTGCATCAGAACTTCCAGGAAGAGCGTCCTGTCATGGCCTCTTGGCTTGGGAGAAGTAGAAATCGTTGAAAAGAAGTATTAAAAAAATACAAAAAAGAAGTATTAATAGTGGACACTCCTGGCTGTGCTACTGGTTGGCCTGCACTCCCGGAGGAGTCCCCCAACCAACGTGGTCAACCCGGGTGGGGTCTCATCCCAGCATTCCCCAGGAGTCCCCAAATCCACAGCAAGCCTTCCACCCTGGCCATTTCCCTACTCTCTATCTGAGCTTTCAAATAATTGCCGGTAGGGGTCGCTGCACTAATCAAGAGAATAGAGTACTTGGTCTAAATTTTGCTTCCCCTTCTGTCTCTAGCAGTAAGTTTGGCCACTGGCCCTCTGCAGCATTCTCCTCAGGGGAGACAAAGATCTTAACGTGGGGGTGTGACTGGAGGGACGGAAATTAACTTGCTAGACCCTTTCCTACAGTCAAATGCTGCTCATTCCATTGGTGTAATTCCATTACCAATCATTAACATGTTGGAGACCAACTGGGATATTTGGGTGTTTCAAGTAAGGTATTTCAAGTAAGGCTTGGAAGACTGTGGAGGGAGGAGATGTATATGAATGGCCTGGTTTAGATGGTAGCCTCAGAATAGGCTTCCCTGATACATACATTCTGCAGACAGCTGCTGGTTTGCAAAAGAGTTTTCATGTACTCGGTGTCAGTATGAAAGAAATGAAGACATAAAATGACAGTTTCTTTAGAAAGTTAAATCTTTCATTTATTTCTGTATTTATTTTTATTTATTTATTTTTGAGACAGGGTCTCGCTATGTAGTTCAGGCTGGACTTGGACTCACTGTGTAGCCAAAACTGGCCTCGAACTCACGGTGATCCTTCTGCTTCAGCTTCCCAAGTGCTAGGATTACAGGGTGCATCACCACACCTGGCCCAAATCTCCCATTTAAAGGAGCATATTGTTATGTATTTGAAGGAATGGATGCTACTTTTTTTTATTAAAATGGAGACATGGTGATAATTGTTATTTTCCAACACTTTATTATTTGAAGTCCCCTAAAAAAGACAGTCTTCTATCATTTGCTAAAATGTGAGGACATGTTATTTGTACATAAAATCCAGAACTGCAGGATCTAGGTCTTTTAGAAGACAGTGTGAGATCTCAGGAGTCCTGGAGAGGAAACAGGAAAAGAATACAATACGGAGAGGAAACCCTGAGGGAAGGTGCCCATGACCGGCTTCTGTTTTCCTGTCAGAGCTTGTATTTAGGGACTATTCTGGAAGACTACAGAGGTCAGTGAAATTCATTAGATTTCCTTTCCAAGAAAAGCAAAGAAGTATAGTATATCCTCTCACTGCCTTCTTTTAAAAAATGAGTCCGTTAACAGAGGAATCACCTTCTTGTCTAAAGCTTCATTAACAAGGAGTCAGAGGGAGTGAGCTGAAATAATTTTTCATCCTGTGTTTGCTTGTGAGGACTGGTATAGTTGCTTGTGTACCTTAGCAATATGTTAATGTTTGTAAAGCTATTTTCATTTATCAGCACTAACTGAAATATTCAAGACTCCAGTGAAGGAGAAATCCCAAATTATGGGGACTTTCCCATCTCTCTTTCAAATTCAAAAAATTTGTTTGGAAAACATGTTCTTTTTAGATTTTTTTTATTTTAAAGGGAATAAAAAGTTTTTAAAACATTAAAAACGATAGAAAATTTCAAAAGAAGATGATAGAAAATCAACAATGTTTCTTTTTGGATCAATTT